TCAATAATTTTCTCCCCCGTTGAAAATAAGTTCCAGATTAATGTGCCCATGATGTATAATACAACATAGACCTTAAATACATCATCCCAAGAACCTCGTTGGAGTATGTAGCCGGTTGCAATTGTACCGAATACACCAGCAAGAACTCCTGCTGTGTTTGAGAGTCCTAGCAATACCCCAGCATAGCGAGGTCCAATGTCTTGGTGGTTGGAGTAGAGACCCGATTGTGAAAATGCATCAGATCCTTGACTGCATGCCATGCATAGTACTACCATTGTGGGTGTCTTGACATGGTTCAGCAGTGTAAAGAAAAAGGCTGGTCCCAGAAACCCAATTGATTGCATGATCTTACGAACTGTCGTTACAGAGAAACCTTTGCTGACTCTGCAATCCAGCCTCCTATATTTGCAAAAATAGCCATTGTCAACCATGGCAAGACACAGAGGAGCCCGGATTCAGTGAGGTTGAATTTCAAAACCTGATTGTAGTATGTTGGCATCCATGTCAATAGAATAAATGTTCCCCAATTGTGGCAAAAGTGGCATACTATAAGAGCCAAAACAGGTGGTTTTGATAATATTAGCTTCCAAGGAATGACCTTAACAGGTTCCTTAGATATGTTTCCACCCATGATAAGCTCTTTTTCCTCTACGCTAAGCTCCAGATCTTCTTTTGGTGTCGCTATGCCTGCTATGAATAACATACTATCTAAATGGATTCCAGTGTCTGAGAGAAGCAGAGTACTTTCACTGGTATATACTGGCATGTACCTTGGTTCTGTCACTGGGTTGGCTGTCTCTCCGATTCTAATCCAGAAGTTTAAATGGCCATCTGTGTTTTACTCATTTGGCTTCAATCTCAAACTGGGCAACCCAGTTGAGATTGAGGGGGGATGTTGAATATATCACTCTAGCTCAACAATAGTTAGTTAGAAAGTTGAGAATGTGGTTGTGTTGTTATAGCTGTTATTGAATGAGTTAGTCATGATGGCTATATAAATTGTATTCTCATAGTTGTAAATATTAATTCAGTATCAATACCATCAATTGTTTCTCTCTCTAAACTCTCTCTCTGTCAAACTCTCTGTGTTCATCTATTTCTCTTCATCTTTCTTCTTGATTCTCTCTTCAATTCCCAAACACTACAATGTAGTTAACAAAACTTCTGTTATTGCATAGCACATTGTTATACAAAATACTGTTACAGTAGTTCCGGGCGAAGGAGGGAGGATTTATATTCTCTAAGGCCATTTTCAACCCACCCGGTCAAATAGTCATAGGCCAAAATATAGCCTATTTTGACATGAAAACCATCTCTAACCAAGGGTTAGGCCAAATGGCTTGTGTGCCCTAAGTTATTTCTACACTATTTCTCACATCATTTTCTCCGTTATATACTATATTACCTCATTTTATTTCAATTTTTCACATCATTCTCATTATATAAAGATAAAAAATTCAGAGGTTTATTCATTTAACGACAAGTGGCACTCAAAAGATGTCTAAAAACTTTATTTTAATATGGTAATTTAATTCAATTAACCATATTAATTCAATTAAAATAATAAATTATTGAGATGGCTAAAAAATAATCCCCTTTAATTGGAGATGATATAAACTATAGTCTGACATTATTCATTAAAAAATATTTTTTTGCAGGAAATAAAAAATGGCCATTGATCCTTTTTCAGTTGTAGATGTCCTAAATGAAGAAGATAACATGATAAGGATAGAAACGTAATCAATGATGGAGGAAATAATAGACAAGAGAGTTGCAGTATGACATAGTCAATGATGTCAAGTAGTATAGATAGTGACATAATATATGGATGCTGGTTGTCAAATGTGCACTAGATATTCCCGATGACTACTGACATACTTAGTGATGTCACTATACATACACACACATACATAAAGAGAAAATAAACGTGTGTTGTACGAAACTTTATCTTTACCTGTAAAGAGATTGTTTCTACTACTGAAACCAGTGATTTTTTTGTCTTAAACAAAGTTCTAAAAGATGCTAGGCACTAATCGGGTGGTTGGTTGGAGCCTAGTGTCTAGACGGCTATGCAGGGTCTAGGCAGGCACCTAGATGGATTTAATTACATTTATTATATTTTGTTTAAATAAGTGTCTATTTATACTTAATATATATATATATATATATATATAATTTCATCGTAAACTACAAAATAGAATGACATAATATTATGAGCTATTGGAACATAATGAAAACATGAGAAACAAACATATAATGTGTGTTCATTTCAGTATTCAAAAAGGCTCTTACAATTTATTAAAAAAATGCAAAATGAAAGTTATTTATTTTTTGTCTAAATGAGTCGCAACCTTGGAGGGTCTTGGAGGGTCTTGGCGGGGTGCCTAGGCGATCTAGACGTCATTTCTTAATTTTCAAACGCTTAGGCATTAATCAAGACGGTGACCAACTACCTAACGTCTAGACGGCACTAAACGGAGATTTTTAGAACAATGATCATAAATGAACAATGTTTCTATCGCGATGTTTCTATCGCGCTAAATGGTCCCCATGACACAATGACATACTTAGTGATGTCAGTAAATAAATATACAAAGATATATATGTTTATATATATATAATATACTAGTGATGTGTGGCACTCAATCCTTCTTACATTTGAGATTCATCTTCTAAGAGAGGAAGCAATCAAAAGAAACTATAATTCAGAGGAAAAGAGGAATAATATGGCAGAGGGGCAAGAAATACAGATTCCAAGAGTTAAACTTGGAACCCAAGGACTTGAGGTAATTTCTTTCAATGCTGATTTGGATTCATCGCGTTTTAGTACCCTTTTATTGTTGGATTAGAGCCTCTTCAATAAATCTTTTGAATTTTGATTGAATATTTGTAAAACATTCCATTGATGCGTTATCTCCAAAAATTATTAATTAACTCACCTTGATCATCTTCAGGTGTCAAAATTAGGGTTTGGATGCATGGGACTTAGCTGGATAAACTCTCCGGATGCCGAAAAGGAAGGAATCTCAGTAATAAAACATGCCTTCAGCAGAGGAATCACCTTCTTCGACACATCTGATGTATATGGAACTGATCATTCCAATGAAATTCTTGTAGGCAAGGTATTCATATCGATCGATTTAAGTTAATTAATTACACGAACTCCGCTAATTGGACTCTCGCTATTGCTAAACAAATATTGATGAACGTAACATTGTATGAATCTTTAGGCCTTGAAGGAAATGCCGAGAGAGAAAGTTCAGTTAGCCACGAAATTCGGTGTTGTAAGTGTAAGCGTCGGACACCAACAGCCTCGTATGGAAGTAAGGGGCGATCCGGAGTATGTGAGGTCGTGCTGCGAGGCGAGCTTGAAGCGCCTTGGTGTCGACTACATTGATCTCTACTATCAACACCGGGTGGATCAATCTGTGCCTATTGAGGACACGGTATGGAATCCTGGTTACTTGCATTCTTCTCTTCCTCGGTCCTAAAACCGCGTAAATTTGCACTAAATGCGCAATCCGAAGCCAGTCCGGACTAAAATCTGATTACTTAGATTCTGCTTTTCTTGTTTTGTTGGAGTTCAGATGGGGGAGCTGAAGAAACTTGTGGAAGAAGGAAAGATAAAGTATATCGGACTATCAGAAGCGAGCCCGGACACGATTAGGAGGGCTCATGCGGTTCATCCCATCACAGCCATACAAATGGAGTGGTCACTTTGGACTCGTGATATCGAGGAAGAGATTGTTCCGCTTTGCAGGTAATCATGTTATCAAAAAACTGACAACGAAAATGGTTGCCATACGGACGCTTAAGTTTTCGTGCAAATGTTGGCAAATTGTAACACATTTATACGTATGCAGGGAACGTGGCATTGGAATCGTTCCGTATAGTCCTCTTGGCCGTGGTTTTTTCGCCGGAAAAGCGGTCTTGGAGAAATTGGATTCTAATGTTCATGCGGTAGATACTAATTTCTTCATTACAAATGCGCATTGTTTTATGCTCTGCTCACTTAAGTTATGAAAAACAGAGCTAATTAAGCTAATCTTAAACTTAACAAATAAATTTGATTTGTTTTCGGTGTGTAATTTAGGCTGCACATCCTCGGTTGACAGGAGAGAACTTGGAGAAAAACAAACAGATATATTATCGGATCGAAACCCTTGCTAGAAAACACGAATGCAGTGCTGTTCAACTAGCCCTCTCATGGGTTTTCCACAGGGGAAATGACGTTGTTCCGATCCCCGGTGAGTCAACTCACTGATTGCATTTGCATTCCAGGATGATCATCTGTGCTAAATTTGCATGATCTTGTTTGCATTGCATGATGCCAATGAGTTTGTCATGCCTTAAAATTTGATGAACATGAGTTACATTGTTCGTTTATACTTTATTTGCTTTGAATTTCCTCAGGGACGACGAAAATTAAGAACCTGGATGCGAACATTGGCGCTCTGGCGCTGAAACTCAAAGAAGAGGACCTGAAAGAAATTTCCGATGCCGTGCCTCTCGACGAAGTAGCCGGCGAGAAAACTTACGAAAATGTAAGTCCCTTTCAATGGAAATTCGCCAACACCCCCCGAAGGAATCTAAATTAAAGGCATAAATCATCATACAGATCAGGAAGGATACAAATTTAAGCCAAGCCATTGGATGATGCCTAAGAGTGCGGCAGTTGTGTTAGTAGAGTTGTAGGTTGTTTTTGTTACTACGATATTTGGGAGGGAGAGTCGAACTCGAGACAACGAATGTAAGGCTGAATGCTCTTAAACGACTATTGTAAAATTGAGCAATCCTCAATTCTTAGTCTATAAAGTCTTAAAATTATAATAAATATTTCGAAGCTATGGAAAATTTTATATAGTTTGTCTCCCACTCAGCAGCATTGTAGGGTTAAGGCTCGAAATAGCTTCTGCCTCACAAAGTTGGGCAAGCTCCTTCTCCGACAATGTCACCATAACCGGCAATCAGTTTTATCCTTTCAGAAAAAACTGAATCCAAAAATAAAAAACGTAACTTGTGTTTTCGTCCATCCGAGCCCAAGAGGACATAACTGTTCAATCAGTTTTATCCTTTTAGAAAAAACTGAATCCAAAAAATAAAAAACGTACCTTGTGTTTTCGTCCATCCGAGCCCAAGAGGACATAACTGTTCAATCATGCTTTCAATACCATAACCGTCCTTGCGAGCCCGCCTTCTGGCGCCCCCATCACCATCATCAAACCTTCCCCTTCCATATTTCCCACATGATTCGACATGTAAACCAGTTTCTTCTGCTTCTCAAACATAACTCCATCCATTAATGGCTGACAGTCGTTCATTACGTGCTCCGTGCTAACACTTGTCAATTCAAGTCCTCCTCCTTCTGACTCGAAACATGGGGGACCAAAAGTTCTACTCCATAGATTCCTTATTGAAACCCTTTAAAATATTAATCGAATAGAGACAGAACACCTAACCTTCAGGCTCCAGCTGATCCAACAACACTGAGAGTGGGAGGACTTTTAAAATCGAGGGAGAGAGAGTTAGCGAGAGAGGCCAAAATTTTGGAAGCATGGCAGAAGAGAACCAAGTCCAAGTTCAAAGAGTTAAACTCGGCAGCCAAGGACTTGAGGTAAAGTCTCACATTCATGCTTTCAATACCCAAATTTCAATCTTTCTTCTTTCTTTGAAGAAATGCAGATTTTTGTTTGTGTTCATATCAGATTTCCTGATAACCCCACTTGCATAAATCAATCCAGAAAAGTCAACTTTTTAGCTTGCTTTGTGTTCATATCAGATTTCCTGATTATCCCACTTGGATAAATCCAGAAAAGTCAAACTTTTTTGCTGCCAACAAACCAAATTATGTGGTAAAAATGCAAAATTTAGTAAAGTTGATGACCCTGTTGGTGTTGGGTCAAATCCTGTTTACATTTGGGATTAATATGAAAAAAGTTATGAAAAGAAATTAATTTTAGAGAAGAAGAGGATATTATGGCTGAGGAGGGGATGGGAATAGAGAATCCAAGAGTTAAACTTGGATACTGGGGATTTGAAGGTATAGTGATTCCATTTTTAGTTTCCTAAACGTGCTCGTTCTATGCCTTGGATTGGATTGGATTAAATAACTCGTTGTATTCGAGGTAGGTTGAAGGAAGGAATGAAGAGTTTTTTCGAACTTTAAAGGTAGAAGATGGATTAGTCGTTAAAGAAAATTTTCCCTTCCAATTCCTACAAAATGGTCGGATTAGAAGGGAGAAGATTCCTTTGTGTCTAATCCCTTCTAGTCCTCTCAGAATAAATATCATTCACCTCCACCTTCTACTTACCTTGAATTTTATGAGTAATCCAATCAAATCAAATCCAATTCTAGTCACCAAACGAGGCCAGAGTTCCCGTCACATTCTGTCTCTCTCTTCAGATAGAATTTTGTTCAGTGCATATGCTTGATTCTGCAATGGAATTGATCAGATTTGCTCAACTTAGTAATCCATATTATTCTTCAAGGCTTTTGAGGCTCACTTTTTCTTAGGACAGATTAAAAGAACATTAACCAATTCTTTTGGTTTTGAGGTTAAACTTTTTTCCAGAAGTTGATTTAGATGCTTTCTTTCTGTGGTTGTAAATATACTCAATTGTTTAGATACATTTCGGCCAAATTTTCCTCATTTTTCAAATTTTGCAGGTCTCAAAGTTGGGGTTCGGATGCATGGGCCTTACCGGGACTTACAACTCTCCTGTCGCTGATGAGGATGGTATCGCTATAATAAAACATGCCTTCAACAAAGCAATCACTTTCTTTGACACAGCTGATGCGTATGGACCTCATACAAATGAAGTTCTTGTTGGAAAGGTATGTATTTCCGGTTGTGAATTTATGGAGCTACTTCTTTAGATTAACTCAGAATCAAAGTATCTGCATTGCTTGATGCAGGATAGACATAATTTGTGAAGTAGTAGACGATTAGCAGCATGTATATGCCATTGCCTTTTATATATTTGTGTTTTGATTGTTATATTCTGTAATTCTAATCGAAAATTTTCTGCCATTTAGGCCTTGAAGCAGCTGCCAAGGGAAAAAGTTCAACTGGCCACAAAGTTTGGTATTGTTGGAGTAGTGCCGCCTGCTGGTGTGGTAGTGAAGGGAACTCCTGAGTATGTCCGCTCATGCTGTGAGGCTAGCTTGAAACGTCTTGACGTGGACTACATTGATCTGTATTATTACCACCGGGTGGACACTTCGGTGCCTATAGAGGAAACTGTATGCTGTTCTGTTCCTTTAGAACCACAATGTATAATATTAGACATCCCCATGTAGAAATTAGTGGGTACCTGGCTGGAAAATTTATTGGCTACGTTTGTTTTTCGTGGAGTTTAGATGGATGAGCTGAAGAAACTGGTGGAAGAAGGAAAAATAAAGTACATTGGGTTATCTGAAGCCAGCCCTGACACAATAAGGAGCGCATGCAGTTCATCCGATCACGGCTCTGCAAATGGAGTGGTCCCTCTGGACTCGTGATATTGAGGAAGAGATTGTTCCACTTTTGTTGTTGAGTGTCATTGTAATACCTTTCCCTTGATTTAAGGGAGTAGACTTGCATAAGTTAAGTTTAGATAGGTTGGCAGCTTTATTCCTTATTTTTTTATTTTCTTGTTGGCTGCTTGCAGCAGCTTTATTTTCCACTTTCTTCCTACTACTTTCTCCCCATTTCCTGATTTCTTGTCGGCTGCATATAGCAGCTTTCCCTCCCTCTTCTCATATATATCCGGACTCCCTCTTGTACCAATACACATGAAATACATATGAAAACTTTAAACCAGAAATTCTACATGGTATCAGAGCAGGTTTTGTAACCTGTCTCTGGCCATTCTTCCCGCTGCATCTTTCTTTCAATCGTAAGCCATGGCTGAAGAAGATTCAATAAACATTGAGGGTGACATCTCGCATGCCTCTCCTTCAAATTTCTCAGACGTCGAGGTTAACACCAATCAACGTTTGTGTTCAGTTCTCTTGAATGAGTTTAATTATCTCCCTTGGTCTCGAGCTGTGTCACTAGCTCTCGGAGGCAAAGGGAAATTAGGATTTGTAAATGGAAGTGTGGAAGCTCCAGACATCTCCTCCCCTTCATACGGTGCATGGCTTTGCAAGGATCAACTTGTCATGTCTTTGCTGCTCAACACCATGGAGAAACATGTTGCTGAGATTTTTAGCTACTACAATTCTTCATGTGAGCTTTGGAAAGCATTGCAAGATATGTATGGAAATCAAAACAACTATGCACGTGTCTTTCAACTTAAGAAGGACATAGCCAGTGCCCAACAAGAAGGGAAAGCATTTGTTCAACATCTTGGAAGCCTCAAAGCCATGTGGAATGAGTTGGATGTATACCTTTCACATACCACAGATCCTATCATTCTCCTTAAACGAGACGAGGAAGACAAAATCTACCAACTGTTGGGGAGTTTGAACTCCGAGTACGAGGATCTAAGGAGTCACATCTTGATGAGTCAGGAGCTTCCCACGTTCAACAATGTCTGTGCAACTATCCAACGAGAAGAAGCAAGAAAGAAAGTGATGAATGCTGAGCACAACTCGAGATTGACTAAGACTCGTGCATATGCCTCAAACTACAAGACCTCAGAGGCAAAAGTGTACAAGGGTAAAAATACACACCTGAAATGCAAATATTGCAATGGCGTTGGTCATGTGGAAGACAAGTGTTGGGAACTTCATCCTGAACTCAAGCCTAAGTTCAGCAAAGATGGAAAAATGATACCAAGGTCCTCACAGCAATTTCAACCTCACTACAAGGCTCAACTTGCCAATGCTCATCCCTCTACTATCTCACAAGGATCCATGGAGTTCACTACCAACCCATTGTCACTTATCAATGAGTTTGCAGCTTACCTTCAAAGAAAGGAACACGAAGGAGGTTCACAAGCTCGAGGCAACGAAAAGAGCAGTCATACAGCCATGTTGGGACAGTTTGCTGGCTTTCTTACTGGAAATGAGAAAGTCCCAAAGGATGAAGCACCAGGTATACTCAAAGCTTTCACTACTGCCCTATTAACTAGTACTGAAAATGATTGTTGGGTAATTGATTCAGGAGCCACAGATCATATGACAAACAAAGTCACAAATTTGAATCATTTTAAACGTTTTTTAAGTCCCTCACATGTGTCTATTGCAAATGGAAAAAATGTCTTGGTTTTGGGAAAAGGAGAAATAAACTTACTCTCACACAAAACACCTTCCACTGCCTTATATGTACCAACCTTTCCTTTCCAACTTCTGTCAATTGGAAAGATCACAAACACCCTAAATTGCCGTGCCATTTTCTTACCAGATAATGTGATGTTTCAGGATGTTCTCACCATGAAGATGATTGGTGGAGGGGTCTTTATAAATGGACTTTACTACCTGTGCAAGAATACCTGTTTTACTCAGGCCCTTCAAGCTCAATCAAAGTCCGTAGATGAAAACCAACTTTGGCATAAGAGATTAGCTCATCCCTCTGAAGTTATCTTGTCTAAATTATTTCCAAATTTTTGTAAAAATCATGTTACTTGTGATACTTGTCAACTTTCTAAGTTTACTAGACTACCTTTTGGTAATTCAATGTCTAGGACAAGTAAACTCTTTGAAATGGTGCACACCGATGTATGGGGACCAACAACTGAATCAATAGAAGGGTTCAAGTACTTTGTTCTATTTATCGATGACTTCTCTCGAATGAGTTTTGTGTACCTTATGAAATCAAAGAGTGAAGTTCAAACTATTTTCAAAGATTTTCATATGCATGTTAAGACACAATTTCAATCAGACATTAAGGTGTTAAGATCTGATAATGGCACTGAATTTCTATCCAACAACATGCTTCAATACATAAGTTCTCAGGGCATAATACATCAAACCAGCTGTGTAGGGACTCCCCAACAAAATGGAGTAGCCGAGAGAAAAAAAATAGAGATATCTTGGAGAAGACTCGTGCCCTCATGCTTCATATGCATGTTCCAAAGAAATTTTGGTCATTTGTTATCCTCACTGCCACCTACCTCATCAACCGACTCCCAAGTCGTGTGTTAGGGTTTAAATCTCCCTATGAAGTACTCAAGGGTAGGAAAATTAATTTGACACACCTCAAGGTATTTGGATGTGTTTTGCTTTGTTCACATTCAAGCCTTGAACCGTGACAAATTAGATGCCAGGGCAACCAAGTGTGTGTTTGTGGGGTATTCTTCCACCCAAAAGGGATACAAGTGCTACAATCCAACCACTAAGAAATGTGTTGTGTCAAGGGATGTGAAGTTTGAAGAATATTGTCCTTATTTTACTCACAAGGGAAATATTGCAAGTCAGGGGGATGAACTGTTTGAAATCTTTCCACTTCCTCAGAACATTAATAATCCAGTATTGGAAGAGAGTTCAGTTACTGTGATACCAGATATTAAAGAAATACAAACTGACTCAATCACTGATAGCAGTATCCCGGCCAATGAGAGAGACGAGGAGTCTCATTCTGATAATTCACAATCTCCTACAGAGCCTCAAGGGCTTAGAAGAAATCCTCCTCAAACCAGAAAACCTCCAACTAGGCTGCAGGACTATGTTACTTATGCCTCACGGTATCCTATCAGTGAAAACATCAGTCTTGGTAAGTTCTCAACATCTCATGCTACATTTCTCTGTGAAATTGATAAACACAATGAACCTAGAAGCTTTCAAGAGGCTTTTCTCCTCCCACAATGGAAACAAGCCATGGCAGATAAGCTTAGTGCTCTAGAAGAAAATAAAACTTGGAGCTTGGTTCAACTACCACCAGGAAAAAAAGTTGTTGGAAGTCGTTGGATTTACAAGATTAAATTCAAGGCTGATGGTTCTATCGAGAGACACAAGGCTAGGCTTGTTGCTCGAGGTTTCACCCAAACCTTTGGGGTAGATTACAAGGAAACATTTGCTACTGTGGCCAAGATGAATTCAGTGAGGGTTCTACTCTCAGTTGCAATCAATTGTGGGTGGACTCTTTATCAAATGGATGTGAAGAATGCTTTCCTTCAAGGAGAGTTACAAGAAGAAGTTTATATGCAGCCTCCTCCAGGTTTTGATGGTATTAAAGGCAACATGGTTTGTAAGCTACACAAGGCAATCTATGGATTGAAACAATCCCCAAGAGCTTGGTATGCCAAGCTCAGTTCAGTTCTAGAGAAGGCTGGATTCCTACGAAGTAATGCTGATTCCTCATTGTTTGTAAGAACTGGCACCAGTGGGAAATTGGTGGTGCTCATCTATGTAGACGATCTCATCATCACAGGAGATAGTGTTGCTGAAATTGAGGCACTAAAAGTCTCGCTATGCCAAACATTTGCTATCAAAGATCTGGGGAAACTAAAGTATTTTTTGGGCATAGAAATGGCAACCTCTTCAAAGGGGCTATTTCTACATCAACGGAAATATGTATTGGATCTTCTTCAGGAAGCAAAAATGCTTGATTGCAAACCTGCCATCACTCCCGTGGATTCTAAACTAAGGCTCAACACAGATGGAGAAGCCATGCATAATGTGAGTTACTATCAACGATTGGTGGGCAAACTTATATATCTTACCATCACACGTCCGGATATCACATATGCAGTGAGCCTAGTAAGCCAATTTATGCATTCTCCTACAGTTGATCATCTTAACATGGTTAAGAGAGTTCTGCGTTATCTCAAGGGTTCGATAGGGCAGGGAATCATCATGCGTAACAACAATTCCACTGCCATCAGTGGCTACACTGATGCAGATTGGGCAGGGAATGCTCTTGATAGGAAATCTACCACGGGTTATTGCACGTTTGTTGGTGGAAATCTTGTCACTTGGAAGAGCAAGAAACAACATGTCATTGCTCGCTCTAGTGCAGAGGCTGAATATCGAGCCATGGCAGCCACTGCATGTGAACTTATATGGCTTAAAGGGCTTCTTTCAGACTTAGGGTTTACTAGCACTACTCCTATGTCTCTTATGTGCGATAATCAAGCAGCCATGCACATCGCTGCTAACCCTGTGTTCCATGAAAGAACGAAACACATTGAAGTGGACTGTCATTTTGTTAGAGCTCAAGTGCAAACTCAAGTCATTCAGACCATCTTCACTTGAAGCCATGATCAACTAGCAGATCTCTTTACCAAGGCTCTGACATCTACTCCATTTCATCGTTTTTTGGGCAAGCTTGGCTCGATTAATCTACTCGATCCAGCTTGAGGGGGAGTGTTGTTGAGTGTCATTGTAATACCTTTCCCTTGATTTAAGGGAGTAGACTTGCATAAGTTAAGTTTAGATAGGTTGGCAGATAGGTTGGCAGCTTTATTCCTTATTTTTTTATTTGCTTGTTGGCTGCTTGCAGCAGCTTTATTTTCCACTTTCTTCCTACTACTTTCTCCCCATTTCCTGATTTCTTGTCGGCTGCATATAGCAGCTTTCCCTCCCTCTTCTCATATATATCCGGACTCCCTCTTGTACCAATACACATGAAATACATATGAAAACTTTAAACCAGAAATTCTACAACTTTGCAAGTATGCTCCAATCTGAGCTATGCACAAGTGTTACCATGAATTGCTTCCATAATTCCGTTTCTGTAAGGGGAAAAGAGGGAGTGCTTTTGAAGATGGTCTCGTTCGTATAAATCCATTGTAGTTGTGAAAGTTGATTGGGGTTACGATAATAACTCTTGTTTGTGTGAATTATTTTGTTGAAATTATCGCATACAGGGAGCTTGGCATCGGAATAGTTCCATATAGTCCACTTGGTCGTGGTTTTTTCGGTGGCAAAGCAGTTGTTGAAAGTTTGCCTGCAAATAGTTTTGCTGTAATTTCTTCTGCTCCATCTATTGTAGAAGTAAATGTTGATTCTAATCATGTTGTTCTTAAATGTGTGACTATTGAAACCTTGTTTTCCTCCGTTTTGAAGGCCTCACAGCCCCGGTTCATAGGAGAGAACTTAGACAAGAACAAGAACATTTACTATCGAATAGAAAGCATTGCTAAGAAGCACCAGTGCTCTACTGCTCAGATAGCACTAGCATGGGTTCTCCACCAAGGACTTGATGTCGTACCTATCCCGGGTGAGTCCTTGCAACTTTTTTATTCTCTTCAACTTCAAATATTTTGTTCCAAGCACACGACAATGTGATTTAGAACTCAAGTAACTTAAAAAGGTGTTAGCTCCAAGTTTGTTCAAATAGTTTGCGGTTACTAATCTTCCTGAGGAGATTCCACACACCATGGAATTAGGCGAAGAAAATAACACACAACGATCGACACATTGTTCATTTGTTTTTCAATTTCCGCTGCAGGGACAACAAAGATCAAGAACCTGGATGCAAACATTGGGTCCTTGGGGGTGAAGCTGACGGAAGAAGACGCGAAAGAAGTTTCTGATGCTGTACCAATCGACCAAGTAGCTGGCGAGAGAGCTTTCGTGCTCCTCATGGCGTTGCAGTGGAAGTTCGCCAACACTCCTCCGAAAGATTCCAAGATCTGAGCTGTTAAGACATGAACATTATTGCATCTCAGTGTTGGATTTTAATGATATTGTATCTTGTGAAGTTTAGGCAAATGAAACTTGTTTCTTGTGCTCTTATGGGACGGTTACTGGTACTAATTAATTCTATTAATAAAGGGGTTTTTGAACATTAGTCATTGAAAAAAATTGATATTAAAAAAAAGAAAGAAAAAAAAAGAAAACTGGTGTTAGATTACGTATTCATTTTAATCTTTTGAAATGTACCTTTATTAAAATTTATATTCTATTTTGTTATTTAATGTGTATTTTTATTTCATGTTTTCACATTAAAATTTTGGTTTTATTAATATGCACAATTTAGTTCTTCCAATTCTAAACAAACCTAAATGAGAAAACATTAAAAATATATATATTGACACGTAAATATGTAATTACACAAGTGTACATAAATCACTATACCGAAAAACATCAAGTTGACTTCTTTGTACCGATATGTCTATTGTAACATCTCACATTGCCCAAGGGTGAGGATCTTGTAAGCCTTATATATATATTCACATCTATACCTAGCACGAGGCCTTTTGGGAGCTCATTGGCTTCGGGTTCCATCGGAACTCCAAAGTTAAGCGAGAGCAATCCCATGATAGGTGACTCACTGGGAAGTTCCCATGTGAGTTTCCAAAAACAAAACCGTGAGGGTGTGGTCAGGGCCCAAAGCGGACAATATCATGCTACTGTAGAGTCAAGCCCCGGATGTGGTGGAGCCCGGGTCGGGATGTGACATCTGTTCCTAAATATTTGTACCGAAATGTATGCACTAAAATGTATTATATTGAACTAATGTAGTATGTACCTAAATGTCAATACCGAAATGTCTTATAAAGAATTAATGTGCATAAATGTCTATGCCGATGGATATAGCAGAATATATTAAATAAATTAATTTACCTAAATGAAGAGCACACAAATTGTATTGAAATATATTGGATAAAATATTAGTTTAACCTGCATGTCTATAACAACATATATTATGATAAATGAAATGAAAATTGGATTCAAATGTAATTAATACAATAAAAATAAGGAAGAACAAGAGAAATAAAATATCAAAATATAATCACTAAATGAGGTTATTAAATGAATCAGGGACGATAATTAGATTTTAATCTCACACAAGGTTATAGTCTAAAAATCATCTTTTTGAAGAATTAAAATGAAGTTTTAACACCAATTTCTTCTAATTCTTTTAATTCCTTTTACTTTATTTTTAGTTTCTTCAACCTATTTATTAATTAATCTGGATAAAAGAACAGCTGCAGCTAAATAAAATGAAGTTGTTGAGAATTGATAGACTGATTTAATACATATACCAAATCCTAGTTTGTTTTTGGGATTGATCTAAATTGCAGGAAGTAATAAAAAGAAATCGTTTGGAGAAAATTAAAGAAGAATAAATATGGCTGAAGCTGAAGGGCAGGGAGTAATGTGGCCTTGCGGTATACCCATTTAGCTGCGTTTCTAGCTATTTTTCTTGAGCATATACACGTATTCAATGACAAAAATATTTGATCGTTGAATTTGATTTGGTTTAAACTAAGTGATTAAAGATCCTTGAATTAAATTAAAAACTCAAATATTTGTCAAGCGCATTTAGCAGGTACTCAAGAAAAGTAGCATTCTTAGAGCTTCTCTTATTTACTTTGATTTTTGTTTTGTAGATTAACGTTGGATTTTTCTTGAGCATCTACACGCATTCAATGACAACAAATATTTGATCGTTCAAATTTTTTTTTAAAACAAAATTTGATCGTTGAATTTGATTTAACGGTTTAAGCTGAATGATTAAAGACCCTGAAAACTTGAATATGTGTTAGGCATAGTGCATGTAGTAGGTACTAAAAAAAATAGCATTCTTAGAGCTTCTCTTATTTACTTTGATTTTTGCTTTTTAGATTAACGTTTGACAGTGCATAGCACATTGTTATGTAAAATACCGTTACAGCAGTGTCCATATGAGAGAGGTGGTATCTTCATTTCATCCAATTCCATCTCGTCCCTTTTTAAACGCTACCTAAATTAATGAAATAATATGAGTAGTATAGAAACAAGATCAATGATGGAAGAAAGAATAGACATAGATGCACATGACGTAGTCAATGAGGTAAGATAGTAACATAATATATGGATGCCGGTAGTCAAAAGTTGCTCTAGTTATTCCCACGTGGCATGTGACATACTCAGGGCCAGGCCAGAGATTTTTTAGGTCCGGGGAGACGCCAAAAAAAGTGCCCAAATTCATATAAGAAAATTATTTATTTTCACATGTAAGACATTGATAAAATTATACTTAAAAAAGCACTTCAAACTCAATAATTTAGAAACACAAAAAAACTAATTTATTTTGTATTGAGAGAAGAAAACCAAACAACTCTGGGCTTATAAGTAGATAGATAATGAGTTTTGTTTTCCATTTGAACTTTGAAAGTGTTTTTGTATAAATCATGAGGTGTTTTTTCTTATTTACTAACCTTGTCAATATGGGACTAAAAAAATAATGATGTTTTCGAGTCTTTAATTGATATGTATTAGTAATGAATGAGCATTAAATTAAATATTTTGATAACACGTCATATAATTTACAAATTTGCGCTACAAATTTGGTCTACTTATTACTCATTGTTGAAGATTAGACTTGAATTGAAACAAATATTTAAAAATAACAAGTTACATAGCTACTAGCTAGTAACTAAAAAAAATTAACAACCAAACAAAAATTTGTTAAAATTGAAAAAAATAAACATGCCCATAGCGTTTCGAATTTGTTAAAATTGAAAAAAATAAACATGCCCATAGCGTTTCGAACTTAGGACCTCTTGCTAATTTTAAACAACAAAAACCATTGCTTATAATTAAACTTCTTGATCCTTTAACCAAATTTTATAAATTTATACTCTTCTGAAAAGAAATTTGTAAAAATTAGAAAGTAAATAAGCACATGTGGTGTTTTGAACTCAAGACCTCTCATTATTTTCAAATGACCAAACCACCTTTTCTACTTAAATTTCTGTGTCATTGAACCAAATTGTATAAATTTATACTCTTATGAAAACATATATAAATATACCACCCTAATAATTTTGGTGCCCCCAATATTTTTGGGCCCCGGACGGTTGCCCTGCTTGCACTGGGCCTGGGCCGGCCCTTACTTAGTGATGTCAGTATATAAATATATAAATATATATTAAACTATTTATTAATGAAATTATCTTTATCAATTAAAAAGGGTAAAAGATATTTTGTCTTTTACAATAAAAAAATTAAGGATAGTAACTTAATTTTATAAAATAACATTTTGATTTTTTTTGTTTAAACCTCATCTACAAATAATTTTATCATTTCTAATTAAAAAATAAATAAAAAACAAACCTCTCTCCCTATCTCCCAACTCCCACATTCTCTCACTCTCTTCCTCTCCTTCAATTTTAAATACAAAAGTAAAAAATTTCACACACTTTGTGGCTAGGCATATATTAGTATATATACATAAAAGCGCGATCTCATGCTAATAAAACTCTATGCTTTGCTAGAGTCGGGGAAGAAACATTTACCATATGCAGTTTTACCTTTGCTTTACAAATAAACTATTTTCACAACTTGAACCCGTGATCTTTTGGTCACAAAGGAGCAATCTTTTTGTTGCGTAAAATACTCTCCCATGACATAGTGACGTGACGTACTTAGTGGTGTTAGTATATAAATTTATAACCAACAAAGTTTTCCGTTTTACAAGTATTCAGGGATATGAAACATTGCCTTTATTTTACAAAGATGTTGTTTCTATGTTTTGAACCCGTGATTTTTTTGTCACAAAGAGAAACTTATTCGCTGTGCCAAATACTCCCCCATTACAAAGTGACATACTTAATGATGTCAGTATACAAATATATAAAGATATATATGTTGACAAACTTAGTGATACGTAAATATATAAAGATATATATTTTATATTACATATAATATACTAGTGATGTGTGGCACTCAATCCTACTTACGTTTGGGATTCATCTTCTAATAGTGGAAGCAATCAAAAGAAACTATCATTGGAAAAGAGGAATAATATGGCCGAGGGGCAAGAAATACAGATTCCAAGAGTTAAACTTGGAACCCAAGGATTTGAGGTAATTTCTTTCAATGCTGATTTGGATTCATCGCGTTTTAGTACCCTTTCATTGTTGGTTTAGAGCCTCTTGAATAAATCTTTTGAATTTTGATTGAATATTTGTAAAACATTCTATCGATGCGTATCTCCAAAAATTATTAATTATTTCACCTTGATCATCTTCAGGTGTCAAAATTAGGGCTTGGATGCATGGGACTTAGCTGGATAAACTCTCCAGATGCCGAAAAGGAAGGAATCTCAGTAATAAAACATGCCTTCAGCAAAGGAATCACCTTCTTCGACACATCTGATATATATGGAACTGTGAATTACAATGAAATTCTACCTGATCATTCCAATGAAATTCTTGTAGGCAAGGTATTATTATCGATCGATTTAAGTTAATTAATTACACGAACTCCGCTAATTGGACTCTCGCCATTGTTAAACAAATATTGATGAACATTGTATGAATCTTTAGGCGTTGAAGGAAATGCCGAGAGAAAAAGTTCAGTTAGCCACGAAATTCGGTATTGTAAGTATAAGCTTCGGACACGGACAGCCTCGTTGGGAAGTAAGGGGCGATCCGGAGTATGTTAGGTCGTGCTGCCAGGCGAGCTTGAAGCGCCTTGGTGTCGACTACATTGATCTCTACTACCAACACCGGGTGGATCAATCCGTACCTATTGAGGACACGGTGTGTACTCCATGTTCACTTGTATTCTTCTCTTCCTCAGTCCTAAAACCGCGTAAATTTGCACTAAATGCGCAATCCGAAGCCAGTCCGGACTAAAATCTGATTAATTAGATACTGCTTTTCTTGTTTTGTTGGAGTTCAGATGGGGGAGCTGAAGAAACTTGTGGAAGAAGGAAAGATAAAGTATATCGGATTATCAGAAGCGAGCCCGGACACGATTAGGAGGGCTCATGCAGTTCATCCCATCACAGCCATACAAATGGAGTGGTCACTTTGGACTCGTGATATCGAGGAAGAGATTATTCCACTTTGCAGGTAATCATGTTATCAAAAACTGAAAACGAAAATGGTTGCCATACGGACGCTTAAGTTTTTGTGCAAATGTTGGTAAATTGTAACACATTTATACGTATGCAGGGAACGTGGCATTGGAATCGTTCCATATAGTCCTCTTGGCCGTGGTTTTTTTGCCGGAAAAGCGGTTTTGGAGAAATTGGATTCTAAAGTTCATGCGGTAGATACTAATTTCTTCGTTACATATGCGCATTGTTTTATGCTTTGCTGACTTAAGTTTTGAAAAACAGAGCTAATTAAGCTAATCTTAAACTTAACAAAGAAATTTGATTTATTTTCGGTGTGTAATTTAGGCTGCACATCCTCGGTTGACAGGAGAGAACTTGGAAAAAAACAAACAGATATATTATCGGATCGAAAACCTTGCTAAAAAACACGAATGCTGTGCTGCTCAACTAGCCCTCTCATGGGTTCTCCACAGAGGAAATGACGTTGTTCCGATCCCCGGTGAGTCAACTAACTGATTGCATTTGCATTCTAAGATGATCATATGTGCTAAATTTGCAGGATCTTGTTTGCATTGCATGATGCCAATGAGTTTGTCATGCCTTAAAATTTGATGAAGATGAGTTACATTGTTCGTTTGTACTTCATTTGCTTTGAATTTCCTCAGGGACGACGAAAATTAAGAACCTGGATGTGAACATTGGCGCTATGGCGCTGAAACTCAAAGAAGAGGACCTGAAAGAAATTTCCGATGCTGTGCCTCTCGACGAAGTAGCCGGCGAGAAAATTTTCGAAAATGCAAGTCCCCTGCAATGGAAATTCGCCAACACTCCGCGAAGGAATCCGAATTAAGGATTTAAATTTGAGCCAGACCTTTGATGATATGCCTAATGTTGGAAAATACTAGTCCTTTTATGTTTATTTAATTATTTGGGTTCATGTAGATAATATCCATTGTTAGGAGAGTTAAAGTTTCTTAGATTTTGTTCTCTATAAATATAGTTTGTACTTTAGTATGATAAACGAGTGAGTCACAATGTAGTCAGTTTGGATTATGTAGCCGTCTCGACAAATTTGTAGTATTTCTTCATTTTCAATAATATTCCTAGTTTTGTAGACCATTTGTTCATCAGTTTGTTATGTGCGCTCTAATTTTCAACTCTTTAAGAGTCCGGCATTTGTGTTAGTTAACAGTCTCTCTTTCTAATTAGTTAGAGAGTTGTAAGGTGTTTTTGTTACGACGATATTGGGGGAGGGGGAGTCGAACTCGAGAAAAATGTAAGGTGGAATGCTCTTAACCAACTATTGTAAAATTGATAAATCTTCAATTCTTAAAGTCTATAAAGTCTTACAAATATAATGTATTTCAAAGCTATAGAAAATTTTATATAGTTTGTCTTCCCACTTAGTATCATTGTAGGGTTAAGGCTCGAAATAGCTTCTGCCTCGCATAATTGGGCAAGCTCCTCCTCCGGCAATGTCACCATAAACGTCCTTGCGAGCCCGCCTTCTGGCGCCGGCATCTTTATCATCAAACCTTCCCCTTCCACATTCCCCACATGATACGACATGTAAACCAGTTTCTTCTGCTTCTCAAACATAACTCCATCCATTAACGACTGACAATAGTTCATTATGTGCTCCATGAAATGAAAATTGGGTTTAAATAATATATCGTTTCTTAAAAAAAAAAAAAAAAAATATATATATATATATATATATATATATATATATATATATATTAGTTTAACCTAAATTTCTATAACAACATATATTGTGATAAATGAAATGAACATTGGGTTTAAATATAATTATTACAATAAAATTAGGAAGAAAAAGAGAAATAAAACATCAAAATATAATCAATAAATGAAGTTATTAAATGAATCAGGGACGAAAATTGAATTTTAATCTAACACAAAGTTATAGTTTAAAAGTCATATTTTTCAAGGATTAAAATGAAGCTTTAATACCCATTTTCTTCTATTCTTTTAATTGTTTTTATTTTATTTTTAGTTTCTTCAACCTATTTATGATTAATCTAGATAAAAGAACAGCTGCAGCTAAATAAAATGAAGCTGCTGAGAATTGATAGGCTGATTTAATACATATACCAAATCCTATTTTGGTTTTGGGATTGATCTAAATTGCAGGAAGCAATCAAAAGAAATCACTTGGAGAAAATTAAAGAAGAATAATATGGCTGAAGCTGAAGGGCAGGGAATAATACTATGGCCATGCGGTATAATCCATTTAGCTAGGCTTCTAGCGATTTTTCCTGAGCATCTGCACGCGTTCAATGACAAAAAATATTTGATTGTTGAATTTGATTTAATGGTTTAAACTAAGTAATTAAAGACTCTTGGATCAAAATGAAAACTCGAATATGTGTCGTGCATAGTGCATGTAGTACGTACTCAAGAAAAATAGCATTCCTAAAGCTTCTCTCATTTACGCTTTGTTAAAAGTACAACACCAGCCCAAATAATAAAGACTGGCCCATGATAAAGAAACAAAGAAAGCATGCATATGCTAGAATCTTCTAGCATGAGTGTGTCGGTGGGCATGCATAATAAGCTAGATAATTCTAGCAAGTTGTAATATTATATGGCTATTAGTAGCTAGAATGATCTAGCAATGTCCAATGTCGGCAAACCTCACCTATAAATAGGTGAGGTGCTAAGCAAGAACCAACCAAGCAAGCAACCAACCAACCAAGTGAGAGTGAGAAGCAAGAATAGTCTTGTAGGAGTGTGAGTGATCTAGAGTTTGTCTCTAGAAGGTGAGTGAGTGTCATTGCTTCTAAAGTTGTGTCCTTGTGAGTGTTGTAATATTTTGTGTGTGTAATACAAGTAATTTGTTTACTTATGTTGTCTCTCCAACACTTGTGTTAGAGTTGTGTACTCTAAATTTTTTCCCAACACGCTTGACTTTTGTTTTTTAGATTAACGTTTGATATTGCATAGCACATTGTTATGTAAAATACCATTACAGTAGTGTCTCGGTGAGAGAGGTGGTATCTCCGCTTCATCCCATTCATCTCGTCCCATTTTATTTCATTATGTCCCGTTTTTATACCAAACACTACCTAAATTAATAAAATAATATGATGAGTATAGAACCGTGATCAATGATGGTAGAAAGAATAGCAACATAGTTGCACAATGACATAGTCAATGATGTAAGATAGTAACATAATATATGGATGCTGGTAGTCAAAAGTTGCCCTAGTTATTCCCACGTGGCGTGTGACATACTTAGTGATGTCAGTTTATAAATAAGAACGATCTCATGCTAACAAGGCTCTATGCTTTGCTAGAGTCGGAGGAGGAACGTTTATCATACGCAGTGTTATCCTTACTTTACAAATAAGTTGTTTACACGACTCGAACCCGTAACATTTTGGCTACAAAGGAGTAACATTTCCGTTGTGTCAAATATTCCCCCATGACTTAGTGAGATAATTAGTGATGTTAGTATATAAATATATATAAAAAAAAGCTACTCCGAACCAACAACATTTTCCGTTTTGAGATAATTAGAGCTTCTCTTATTTACTTTGATTTTTGTTTTTTAGATTAACGTTGGATTTTTCTTGAGCATCTACACGCATTCAATAACAACAAATATTTGATCGTTGAAATTTTTTTTTCAAACAAAATTTGATCGTTGAATTTGATTTAACGGTTTAAGCTGAATGATTAAAGACCATATAAACTCGAATATGTCTTAGGCATAGTGCATGCAGTAGGTACTTAAAAAAATAGCATTCTTAGAGCTTCTCTTATTTACTTTGATTTTTGCTTTTTAGATTAACGTCTGACAGTGCATAGCACATTGTTATGTAAAATACTGTTACAGCAGTGTCCATATGAGAGAGGTGGTATCTTCGTTTCATCCAATTCCATCTCGTCCCTTTTTAAACGCTACCTAAATTAATTAAATAACATGAGTAGTATAGAAACTGGATCAATGATGGAAGAAAGAATAGACATAGATGCACATGACGTAGTCAATGAGGTAAGATAGTAACATAATATATGGATGCCGGTAGTCAAAAGTTGCTCTAGATATTCCCACGTGGCATGTGACATACTTAGTGATGTCAGTATATAAATATATAAATATATATTAAACTATTTATTAATGAAATTATCTTTATCAATTAAAAAGGGTAAAAGATATTTTGTCTTTTACAATAAAAAAAATTAAGGATAGTAGCTTAAATTTATAAAATAACATTTTGATTTTTTTTTGTTTAAACCTCATATACAAACGATTTTATCATTTCTAATTAAAAAATAAATAAAAAACAAACCTCTCTCCCTATCTCCCAACTCCCACATTCTCTCACTCTCTTCCTCTCCTTCAATTTTAAAAACAAAAGTAAAAAATTTCACACACTTTGTGTCTAGGCATATATTAGTATATATACATAAAAGCGCGATCTCATGCTAATAAAACTCTATGCTTTGTTAGAGTCGGGGAAGAAACGTTTATCATACGCAGTTTTACATTTGCTTTACAAATAAGCTGTTTTCACGACTTGAACCCGTGATCTTTTGGTCACAAAGGAGCAATCTTTATGTTGCGTAAAATACTCTCCCATGACATAGTGACGTGAAATACTTAGTGGTGTTAGTATATAAATTTATAACCAGTTTTCCGTTTTACAAGGGTTCAAGGATATGAAACATTGCCTTTATTTTACAAAGATGTTGTTTCTATGTTTTGAACCCGTGATTTTTTTGTCACAAAGAGAAACTTATTCGCTGTGCCAAATACTCCCCCATTACATAGTGACATACCTAATGATGTCAGCATACAAATATATAAAGATATATATGTTGACAAACTTAGTGATACGTAAATATATAAAGATATATATTTTTATATTATATATAATATACTAGTGATGTGTGGCACTCAATCCTACTTACATTTGGGATTCATCTTCTAATAGTGGAAGCAATCAAAAGAAACTATCATTGGAAAAGAGGAATAATATGGCAGAGGGGCAAGAAATACAGATTCCAAGAGTTAAACTTGGAACCCAAGGATTTGAGGTAATTTTTTTCAATGCTGATTTGGATTAGTACCCTTCTATTGTCCGTTTCGTGTCTTTTCGGTGAAAAAAATTCTAATTTTGTTTGAATATTTGTAAAAAATTCTGTTTAAGCGTTTTTCCGAAAATTATTAATTAATTCGCCTTGGTCTATCTTCAGGTGTCAAAATTAGGGTTTGGATGCATGGGACTGAGCTGGATAAACTCGCCGGATGCCGAAAACGAAGGAATCTCAGTAATAAAACATGCCTTTAGTAAAGGAATCACCTTCTTTGACACAGCTGATATGTATGGAACTGATCACTCCAATGAAATTCTTGTTGGCGAGGTATTATTATCGATCAATTAAGTTAGCTAATTAATTACGCGAACTCCGCTAATCAGATTATCGCTATTGCTTAACAAACACTGATGAACATTGTATGAATCTTTAGGCCTTGAAGGAAATGCCGAGAGAAAAAGTTCAGTTGGCCACGAAATTCGGTGTTGTAGGCATCGGACACGGTCGTATTGAAGTAAGGGGCGATCCGGAGTATGTGAGGTCGTGCTGCGAGGCGAGCTTGAAGCGCCTTGGTGTCGACTACATTGATCTCTACTACCAACACCGGGTGGATCAATCCGTGCCTATCGAGGACACGGTATGTAAATTATGTAATCCGTGTTTACTTGCATTCTTCTCTTCCTTGGTCCTAAAACCGCCCAAATTTGCACTAAATATGCAATCCGAAGACTAAAATCTGATTAATTAGATACTTATTTTCTTGTTTTCTTGGAGTTCAGATGGGGGAGCTGAAGAAACTTGTGGAAGAAGGAAAGATAAAATATATTGGATTATCAGAAGCGAGCCCGGACACGATTAGGAGGGCTCATGCAGTTCATCCCATCACAGCCATACAAATGGAGTGGTCGCTTTGGACTCGTGATATCGAGGAAGAGATTGTTCCACTTTGCAGGTATATGATCTCTCCTACCATCCGGATACGGACGCTTAAGTTTTGTGCAAATGTTGGCAAATTGTAACACATTCATACGTATGCAGGGAGCGTGGCATTGG